ACAACAACAACGAACAAGACGAATTCTAAAGTTCATCCATTGTTTTGGCGCATCCCACACGTGGCCAATCTAGTTAAAGTTGTCTGACAATTTTTTCTCATGATTTGACATGCCAAGTGCAAAGTAGGTTATTGTCCGTGCATCCAACCAGTTATAACGGATATTTTTGTACTGTCGCAACAACATATTGGTTAATACATAAAAATAATAATAAATAAATGTTTTATTGTAAATTGATAAAGATTTATGAAGGCAAATCACCATACAAAAAATAGTAAAAAAAAAATAGCATATAAAGATTGAGTATGTACACATAAAAAGTAAATGTTTTATTGTAAATTGATAAAGATTTATGAAATACAATAAGAGAGTTTATCTTGTAGTTTTTAAAAAGTAGATTACCGATATTTTTTTTAGTTTTTAATCATTAAATTTATATTAAAATATATTTATTTTGTATATTTTTTTAATTTAATGTGATTTTAACTAGATTTAACAATTAGAAATTAAAACTACAGTCGGCTTACAAGAGAAAGTTCTTATAAATAAGAATATGTTAATAAATTAAATCTATCTCGTAAATTTTGATTTTATTTTTAAAGTTGTGATTAAAAATAATAATAATAATAATGGATTCATATTATTTAGCTAAAATTTTTGAAAGTTAATGAATAATATATGGATATTCTTTACCATTCAAATACTCACATAAAGATCTCTCTCAAAAAGGGAATAAAAATACTCGTAAGGATTCCAAAAGCCCTAGCAAATTTGATTAAGAGAGCTAAAGGATTATCATACTAAAATTCAAAAGGGTGGTTTTACTCACACACCCATTTTTACTCTCTACACTATCTTTTTAAATACATACCTCATATAATTTTAAAATGGTTAGATTTACTTTCTACACACCCCTATTATTCTAAAATTACCCAGGATTATTAATTCTCGATCATTTCATTTTTTTCACACCCATCATTTAATATAATTTATTATTTTAATATTAACATTTTTAAGTAAAATAAAAATCGATAAATAAACCAATACATAACGACAATAAAATTAGTATTTTATTGAGGTATGATAAAAAAGATAAAATGGAAAAAGAATAAAAAAATAAACGAGAATAAACATAAAAAAGAATTAAACGAGAAAAAAAATCAATTCAACTTTTCAAGAAACTAAAAAAAAATGATTTACCTTTTTAAAAACAAAATGATTAGGAAAAAAACAAATATATAAACACAAAATAAAAGAAAGAGAAGGCAAATCACCATACAACAAATAGTAAAAAAAAAATTAACATGCTTCTATGTAAATTTTTGGAATAGTTTTTGAATGGTAAAAACTAAAGTTTTATTATAGATTTTATAATAACAATTGTCTATAACTTAAGAATATGAAATGTGGGGTGTGTGAAGAGAAAAAAAAAACATTAGTTTATATTTATAATAAAATTAACATGTGTAATTAAGTCTTTCATAATTGTTCTTTTTTGTCATTTTATGTGAGGATTTTTTGTAATAAATTATAATTAAAAGGGGTGCGTGGAGAGTAAAAAGAGGTGTATGAATAGAACCACTACATTCAAAATTGCTAAATATATGTCTTCGTTGACATAACTTTTTTATGAGATTATATTATTCTCTTTTTTTTTTCTTTTTTCTTTTTCTCATAAGATGATGTACGTTCAGGAAATTTAAAATGAAATCAATTCCGTAATTTCATGTTATTCAAATGAAATAAGGCAGATATAAAAGTATATATATATATATATAAATGTATTTCTATGACAAATAAACCAAATCTTATAACTAAATAAAGATGGAACAAATTGATAATAATTTGTATGTAAATATGAGGATTTACTATATATTTACAGGTGAATTAAGTTGCCAAAAATTTATTAGCATGAAAGTATTTCCTCTTCCACGGAAAAATCATTTCCAATATTGGCTTAATTAGACGTGCTTCCTAAATCATTTGTGGAAGGTTTCTCTATCCTAGAAATTAATTTATTACTCATCTAATTGATCTAATTGAAATATTTTATTGTGGTCATCAAACTTCATATTGTCAAGTTTAATTCAACTTGCATTTTCCATCTTATATTAATTCATACAATATAGGTAGAATATATAGGTACGAAGGTGATGAGAAATAAAAGAAAATTGTATATGGACAATATGCGAAGTTGAAGAAAATTAGATTTAACTAAAACCTTGTAACTAAATTGTGTTGGATTGAAAGTCATTATTAATTTTTATAATATGTTAGTTTCCCAATACATCATCAATTAGGTATGATTTCCTTATAACATCACATAGACATCATTTTTTTTTTTTGGGAAGGAATCTCTAAGCATAATTTTGGTTACTTGAACTCTCAAATTTCCAATCGAATTATCATTACAAAATTCACGATAAATGAATGAACAAAGAAGAAGATAATTATCTTGCCATGAATCCGGAAACAAAGAACAAATCAAACTAGCAAATAAAATTTAGACCTTGTTCAAAAAGTAAAAAGTAAAATTTTGACCGGTCAAAACGTAAACAAATCAACCAGTATCTAATTAGGCAACAAGAAGGACAAAAAGATCGATCATCGGCATCACGTGCGTCTCTTCCTAAAACAATTAATCGATTATCTCACCTTCATTTTCTTCAATAATCTTCACCTTTTGATTCGGATAGGCACATAATCATGAGCGTCATAGAGAAATTACCAACCATCCTCAAGTGTTTTCTTAATTTTCGGAAAAATTTCTACATGGCTTGGGTTAAAGAAGCACAAAGTTTGCCTCTTATGATTTCTTCTGCGAATTTGCGTGAATAAAAATTGATCCCCCAAATCCCACAAATATGATTTCATTTCAAATTTGCGAAAAAGAAGAGTCCAAATCTGCTCACCATGTTAAGGAGTCTTATGGGATGTTTAGTTTATGGGTGCAGAACCATTATTCATAATTTTGATTTTTAAAATTTAATTTTTTGTGAGAGAAAAACACTATAAAGAATAAAAAATCATGATTCAGAACCAAGGAGGAACCCTTAAACAAACATCCCATTAGGGGGCGTTTGGTACGCAGTAATCAGTATGAATCATATTCCTGAGAAAGTGGTGTAGGGTAATATGATTATCAGGAATAATACATTACTGTATTTGGTTTCATACATAAATTTTTCTTAAATTCTCAGGAATATTACATTACCGTGTTTGGTTGTGTATGAAAATGCTGTGAATTTAAAAAAAAAACATATTTTTTTAAATGAATTACAATTAGGACTAATGTTTTAAAATCAACCAACCAGTAAAATGCTCCATTAATCAATGCTCCTACCCTTCTAATTTTAAAATCAAGAGGACCATCCCGTCACTTTGTTTCCACTTCTCTCCAAGAATCACCACTTGTTGTGAATACTTGGACAACAATCTTTATCCTACCTGCAGCCCTTTTACTCCCACAATAAAACTCCACAACTCTAACAAACTTGTAGTCCTTACTCTCATCGAATCCAAATCCGAAAGCGCCATTAATACAAAATGTAGTTCATACAGAGGGCGCCTCTGGAAGATTTCGCCCTTCTCTTGGTGCCGGGTTCCAGAACGTTCTTCCATCAGAATGATTAACGCAGAACAAACCATTAGAAGATCCGACGATTTCGGTTAGACGTGCATTGGGTTTAGTTATGTATGATATATCCGATTCCACAACCTTTGATTCATCATGGACCAAACACATCCTTAATCGATCTTCTTCGCATCCATCCCGTGTTGCTAGAATGATTGAGAGTTTGGGGTTCTTGGAGTGATGAAGGAGGTGGCTGGATACAAGCAAAGAGCTGTCGGTAATGAGATCAAACCATTTTTTCGAGACGCATTTGAATCTCATGAGTGATTCAACGGGCAATTTGGAAAGAATTTCATTCAAGACCAGGTCTTCTGGTAAAAAAACCACCGTGTTGCAGAGTCAAAGGGGAGCAAAATTGATTCTTTGTGTGCCAAAATTTACTATGAGGAAAGTTTCCTCTTCCTGTGAAAAACATTAAATTTTAGCATTCAAATACATGTAAAGAATTTTAAAAGCCTAAAAAATCTGATTGAGAGAGCAAAATGATTAACATAGAATTCGAAATTACCATTTATATACCTTATGAGATTATAATCAATTTTCTTATATAAGATGATGGCATACGTCCAGGAAAAAAAAAATCAATGTACAAGTTTAAAAGATCAATAATTCCCTCTAAAATATTACCGACTTTTTTTTTTTTTTTTTTGTGATAATGAGACGATAATAATATCCTCCAATAAAAAAGGAGAACTACTATAATTATTATTATTATTATTATTTTGAAAGGACAACTAGTCAACTACTATAATTATTGATACTGTGGTTTGCTATATATTGCGAGGTTGATATTTTTACTAGTATTTACGCTTTTTATGTCAATTTTTTTTTTTTTTTTATGGGTTGGTATGCCAATCTTCTTCTTCTTCTTCTTCTTTCTTTATTTTTTTTTATTTTTTTATTAAGGGAGCATCCAGTTCATCGGCAATTGCATACAGTTTCCTCATAAGATCACACTATCATCACATCAGACGTGGCCCGGTATTCTTTCTTTTAAGAGTAATCTTGCTTACATGTCTAGTTCACTTCGCAGATTCAAGTTTTCAATTCGAGTTGAGATGTACCATTTTGTGAGAACTTTTCACTGTAACAGAAAAAGTTAGATGTGACATTTTCTGAGAGCTTTTTACTGTAGAAATCTAGAACTGAAAACTCGAATCGGTGAAATGAAAAATTTTTAATTTTTGTATTATCATTCACAAAAGTCACGACAAATGAAAGAAGAAAGCTATTCCCTCACATGCAATTGCTCTTATTCATAGGAATGAATTTAAGCAGACAAATTTTTGTTAAATCAAACTAGCAAAAAGAAAAGGAAAAACAAAAAAGAAAACAGAGAATTAAGGCAAAAAGAAAGAAAAAAAACTATATCATCAACATCCCTAAATGGATAGATATCAAATGTTGGTCTCACATTGATTTTCTTCAGTTCTTCATTTTTACGATTCGGATAAACTGAAGTTAGACTCGGCACATAATCATGAGCTTCACCACAAAAGCGCCATCCGGGCTCAAATACGTGCTTTATTCTCTGACAATTTTCTTCAGGGCTTGAAGGGTTAACGATGAACAAACTTTGTTCATCACTTCTCATAATGAGAAATCGATCATCTCCCCAAACCCCACAGAAAGAATTCAGTTCAAGACGCCAAAAATGAGGACAACTCCAAATCTGTTCATCAAAAGTACCGTTGCTCTTGAGCACCAAAATTTCGCACAAACTCCATACTCTCCCATCATAATTATAAATGAATGAAAGCAAAGCAAGCGACTCCTTCCACTTAATAAGTCGAAAGGAACGATTGTTAATCTGCACAACATGATCTGGTAAACTTATGATACGCATTTCCTCATTGCGCAAATCGAACGACAAGAAACAAAATCGATCTCGTAAATCCTCTTTCTGCACCAACCAGTACAAAGCTCCACTAAACAATACTCCCGCTTGTCCTGTATTGTGAAAGCTAAAACCTAAGATCTGTTTCACAACTCTCCAAGAATCACTACTTGTGGTGAATACTTGGACATGATTAATTACACTTTTCCATGGATTGGTCTCGTTATCTTGCACAATTCTAACCAACTTGTAATCCTCACTGCGATCATCAAATCCGAATCCCAGAGCAAAAACACTTGGTCGAGAGAGCTGCAAATTGGCTACGGAAGTACTACTTGTCACGCATAGGGGTGCCTTTGGGAGATTCCTACACTCTCTGGTTTCTGGATTCCATAACATAATGGCATCACCAAACAAATAATGCTGAAGGCAGACCAAACCATTAGAAGATCCGATGATTTCGATTAATTCTAAGTGTTGCATGACGTCTGGTACATCTGATTCCACGACCTTTGATTCATCATGGACCTCAAATATCCTCAACTTATTTTCGTAAACAATTCCTCTTGCGAGAATGATGGAGAGATTGGTGGTCTTGGAATGATGACGAAGGTAGGATGATGCAAGCGAAGAGCTGTTGGCGATGTGATCGAACCATGTTTTTGAGACGCACTTGAATCTCATGAGAGATTTTATTGGCAGTTTCGGAAGAATTTCCTTCACCACCAGATCTTCTGGTAAATAAACCATGTTGAAATTAAAGTGGAAAGGGAGCAAATCGCTTATAATTTGTGTGAATAAGAAGTATATATTTATAGGTTAATCAAGTTGCCAAATTCATTAGCAGGAAAGTTCCTTTTCCCTTGGGAAAAATCATTTGTGGAAAGTTTTCATCTCCGATGGCTTAATTAGGATTCCTAAATAATCTGCGGGAAGTTTCTCTATTCTAGAAATAATTCAGTTCTCATCATGAAATACTATATATCGTCACATTTTAGAAAAAAAATAAAAAAATAAATAAAACTCCATACTGTCTAGCCTTGAAAACTTAACCCCAACTTGTATTTAATTCATCTAATTATGTGACGTTTGATTGAAATTGATTATTTTACCCTTTTCCTCACGCTTTTCGTTATCAGTAGGTATTAGACGTGACCTTTAATTTTATTCTGTAGCCTTTTATTCATTTAATTTGAGGTTATTTAGAGAAAGTTAATATTACTGGTTTTAGTTTGGCAACTTACCCGATATTGTAATTGTCATTTGTATTTATATGGAATCCATGCGTAGTGCTGCCTATTAGTAAATTCTTTTTCCTTCTCAAATCATCTTTTAATTTTTTATATTTTGGGGTTACCTCCTCGGCACAAAAAGTCCTCCGTATACTCTATAGTTTTAGGTTGTTTTTTTCAACGAAACTCAGAAAAAATTTGAACTCGAGTTATAACTTTATTTAAGTTCATATTTTTTTTGTAAAATTTGAGTTTAAACTTGAATTTGGGGCTAAACTCGAGTTCAAATTTTCCTTTCAACTCGAGTTCATAAACTCGAACTCAAGTTAATGAATAATATTTTTTATCTGTTCATTTCGCTGATTCGAGTTTTGCTACAGTAAAAAGCTCTCACAAACAATCATATCTAACTTTTTTGCTACAGTAAAAAGCTTTCACATAAAATCACATTTCAACTTGAATTAAAAACTCGAATCAACGAAATGAACGGTGCATCTTCTGATTGAGATGATTTTTTTTCTATGCATTCACAACGAAAAGACGAATAAAACCACACCCATATACCCTATTAAAATTTTTCATCACTATTGAATTTTTATTAAAATACTATCTAAATATAAATTTAAGTTTTGATCCATCCAAACACAAATTCAAAAAGATTCTCAATTCAAATCATAACTCAAATGTGCACATTCAAACACAAACTCAAATTACAACTTCAACTCAAATTATAACTCAAACTCAACTTAAAATTATAACTCAAGTCATCTTAATACAAAAATGTAAAAGAACAACTCCTTGTTTTTGTGTCAATGACCGTACGTTTGCAATTGCAAGATTAATATTGTACCAGTATTTGCACTTGTTATGCCAATCTTTTATCTCTATCTGTTTTTTTTTTTTTTTGGAACAGGACATCCGATATTTCATCAGCAACTATGTACAGTTTCCTTATAATTATATCGCATCACATGGCCATGTATTCGTCTTTAAGAGTAATTTTGGTTGCTTGAACTTGCTATTTTCAAATTATCATTGTGAAATTCGTGACAAATGAAGGAAGAAAGCAATTGCCTTGCATGATTCACATGAATAAAGTGAAACAGACAAATTTTTATTCTATAACATAAAAAAGAACAAAGCAAACTAGCAAATAAAGTTTAAGTTAGTCAATATGGATGGAAAAAATTGGGCTGCAAAACAGAAAGTCCGAGAGGGAGAAGAAGAAGAGAGCACCGAAAATAGTGCTGACTTTTGAAGGTGAACTCAACTGGTTCACACGTAAAAAAAGGGGAAGCAAATGCTATAAATACAGGTCTCCTCTCATTTGTTTTGCATCCCAAAAACTGAGCGCTTCTCCCATTTGTAAATTTGTAGGAAATTCTTTAGATTTATAATTTTTGGGCTTTTGTAATTTCTGTCCAATTTGTAATCTTTTTTCTTTCTTGTAAATAGAGTAGTTCACAATATCCGGAGACGTATGCAATGTTTGACCGAACTCCGTTATCAATTCTGGTGTTCTTTTATTTGTTTTCAGTATTAAATAGTTATTCTATCGGATTTATCCGCTGCGTATAGTACTGTTAATCTATACAATAATATTCACATATATGACACTATTCACGGGTATAGCACTATTCACAAGTACTGTTCACGGTGAAGTTATTTTTGAGTGAGAAATACCTGATTTCCCCAACAAGTGGTCTCAGAGTTGACAGTTCGCCCTAGGCCTTGTTGTATTTTTGTCTATTGAATACTACATTTGATCTGCAAAAATAACGAAAGCCTCAACAAAGTCTCCCACTAATACGACATCAACCTCTTCGTCTACATAGACGAGGACTCTAATGTCAAATGCAAAACTTGCGCTGGAGGTATTTGACGGTACTGGTCATTTTGGCATGTGGCAAGGCGAGGTGCTAGACTCATTCTTCCAGCAAGGTCTAGACATCGCCATCGAAGAAAAGAAACCATATGATGTTGAAGAGAAAGATTGAAAGACAAACAACCGCCTGACATGTGGAACAATCCGTCCGTGCCTGTCCAGAGAACAAAAGTATGCATTTAAGAATGAAACTTCTGCAAATAAGTTTTGGAAGGCGTTGGAGGACAAATTTCTGACGATAAGCATCCAGAATAAGCTCACTGTGAAGAAAAGATTGTTCTGTTTTGAATACCGCCCAGGTACCACTATGAACGATCACATTACTGCTTTCAATTAGTTAGTAGCGGACTTGTTCAACTTAGATGAGACTTTTAAAGATGAAGATTTGGTTGTAATGTTGTTGTCATCTCTTCCTGAAGAGTTTGGACATTTAAAAACTACTTTACTCCGTGGCAAAGAAGAAGTGTCTCATGTTGTAGTTTGTACTGCTTTGTATAGTTATGAATTAAGAAGAAAAAATAAGAAAGAAAGCAGGAACATAGCAGTCGATGAAGTGTTGGTAGTAAGAGGCCGTCCGCAAAGCCATCTGTAACGCCCCCAACGCTAAACCAGTCTGAGGCTGAATTTAACGAGGTGGTGCTACTTAAAACATACCTTCTATACTTAAAACAATGTCATTTTTAAGATGCGGAAACTTGTGGTTGATTTCATCACAAAATTTTCCTAAAAATTTTTGAACAAAATGAGTAAGTGCGCAACCACAAATCTTAAACATTAAATAGTTATTCAAAAGTGACATAGTAACAAAACAAAACATTTTGAGCCCATCTATTGTTTGGAAGTACATATAAGCAAGATGTCAGATGTAAGACTTGGAGTACTCTACCAACCTTGGAAATCATTTTTCTTTTTACTCTTCGGTAACAACAACATCATCTGCATCACAAGGTAAAACTAATGAGCAAGAACTCAGTAAGTAGATTTCAAATAAAGTAAGTATCTAAAATCTCTGTGGCTAAAATTTATTTGTTAATCATTGTTCATAAACTTTCATACTTATTCTTAGTTTAGGTATGATATAGAACTTCGGTTCCAAGTAAGCCTCTCTATACAGGACATTCTCTAATTTTGGTCAATTCTCTTCTCTTAAACACTAAGCGGGGTTTTTAGAATCTATTTCTCCTGTGATCAACAAGAAACTTCCCACTAGCATTTTTCTCTAGTTGTCTCAAAGAGACAGTTTCTCTAATTTGGGGTGCCAGTCCCTCGTACCCCTGTTTACCCAGCCTCTCATCTATATACCATACCATAAAATCTCTTAAAACATAAAAACATAATAAGCATAAATCATAATCTCTTTCAAAATAATTAATCATGAATACTCTTTGAACATAATCATATAAGAATTTCATAAGAGAATAAACTTGCATAATCACAATTCTGAACAAGTTAAGTCAAATAGGTCTTATGATGCAGTTTTGAAAATGCTTTAACTCTACTTACTTAGATTTCGATCACCACTTTACAAGCACAAACTAGCTGATTGTAGGGAGCCTTCAATGTCCTAATTAACCTTTAAAAACCACAGCTTTCAAAAATTACATTCATATCATCATTTAACAAAACACATAACTACGCATTGTTATGAAAATAATCATAACAAATTCATCAAAATTCAAAATATTATGAGACCAGTGGCAAATAAAAGTAGACTCAAAACTCTCTTTTTAGAACTACTACATAATGGGTTTCGGATTTTTCAAACTAACCAAAAACAGCCCGAAATACAGATTGAAGTACAATCTCGTTAGGAAAATGAAAGCTTTTTAACTGAACTTATAAAATTCATAACTAAATGTAGAAAAATCCGCTTGGAGTGATTCAAAAACTCACATAAAGCTTGAGATATATACTTTAATAAAAAAATATAAGATCAGTCAAAATCATAAGTATATATGGCACGAAAACAGAATCTACATAGGCTATACAAAGAACTTATATTTGAACATTTCATCAAATACCTAGCATGCAAATCTTAATTTTCAAGGACCACTCTCACATACATGAATCATCATCTTAATAAGAGTTTATCTTCAAATAGTCATCAATAATATCAAGCTAAAATCATCAATTTCACCCAGAAACCAATATTTGAACCAAAACCTCAAGAAACTCATTTTTAAGAGTCTACAACCAACATGCATAATAAGCCCCATCAAAAATCCGAATCTCAAGTAGGATTTCAACATCTTAATATCTGAAATCTTAGTTTCTAACATAAGAAAGAAGTTACCTCAAAGAAAAACGTGTTCCCAAGTGAATAGAAGCTCAAAACTTGGTGGTTATTTTTGCTTCTAGGTTGAAAACGAGTTGAAATGGGCTGGTTGAGTCTTTAGCTCATTCTCTCTTAAAAACCTATGTTTGATTCTGAGTTTTGGGTGAGAAAAGGAGTGAGAAGAGAGAAGAAAGTGCTATGGTCGGAGTTCTAGGGTTTTTTTGCTGAAATAGACCCAAAAAGGAAGCCTAAACTTGATTGAAACTAAACAAAAGTAAAGTGGCCTTATAATAGAACAAGTGCCTAGGTTTTTCTAAGTCTTTAATAGCTATCCTATCCTCATAAAATCAGCTCTAAAGTATCTATTTTTCTTCTTCAATTAAGTGCCTAAAGTTCACTTAATTTGCTAACATAGACTCCTCTCACCAAAAACTCAAAATAATAAATAAGTCCTCAACACATTTACATAAAACCATATAATAAAAATATAAAATAATGATTCATCATTAAATCAATCATAATAGAGGTAAAATATCATATTAAATAATCATAATAAATATCATTTTTCTTCATAAGTTTAGCACATTGAGTTCCCACATCGAGCTAGTTGCACTGCACATTAAAACTGAAAACTCGATTAGCAAAGCTATAAGTTTAATAAAATCATATGATAGCTATAATAATAAAATATAATGCCAACAAATAACTTTTAGGTAAATGGTAAATGTGATGCATGATTTTAATTTACTAAATTTATTTATTATTGGCTTAAGGCTTAATTAAATCTCAGGTATTACACCAGCAGCAGGGAAAGCATGCAAGAAGAGGGAGATCTCGTTCGAAGGCCATACTTGGAAAAAATGAGTATGCCTTTTGTCATGAGAAAGGGCACTGGAAGAAAGATTGTCCGAAGCTGAAGAAGAAAGGAAACGTTGTTTCAGATGCATATGTAACCGAGTGTGATAGTGATGATGTAGAACTATCGTTGGTTGCTTCATCTTCGACATCCCATTCTGACGAGTGGATTTTGGATTCGGGTTGTACCTATCATATGTCTTCCGTCCGGGAGTGGTTCTTCAATTTCGAAGAACTAAATGGTGAAGTTGTTTATTTGGGCAATGATAGCCCCTGTAATACAATAGGGATAGGTTCAATCCGGCTGAAGAATCACGATGGATCAACAAGGGTTCTGACGGAAGTTCAGTACGTGCCCAATTTGAAGAAGAATCTCGTATCTTTGGGAGCCTTGGAGTCCAAATGCTTAGTTATGACTGTGCGAGATAGAGTTTTGAACTAAAAACAGTATCACCTCTTATATTTACACGTTAGGTGTAAAGTAAGTCCTTTTACCCATAGCTTTGTGCCTTCCCCACCAAGCAAACATATCCTCAACTCCTTCCTATTTCTTTCTAATTTTCATAGAAATAGAGACACACTGACAATGGATGCAATTACTCGTCTAATGGTCTTTTTGATCTTCTAAATGTATATAAACTGATTCAGAATATCATCTGAAGGAACAGAAATAGAAATTCCTCAATCTTCTATGGCTCTTATAGTACTACTCCAGTAAAAGGTTTATCTACAACAACAGCACTGCGCTTCAAATAACAAAACAGATTGACAGGCCAATTTGAAAATGCCTCAAATCAAAACAAAATCAATCTGTAAAACTTTGTTTTAAGTCATTTAAGAATGTAGAAAATCTTTTGCACATACACAAAACAGAGATGCTAAGGATCCGGCCAACAAAGCGCACTGGCCATGGATAAGGCAACATTTAACATGCGGGAGTTTAATAAATCCACTTCCAAGCTGATATAGGCCTCTATTACCAAAAGTAAACTAGCAATTCGATTATGCAGTTTTCACAATAGAAATGCTACTAAATGGAAACGATCTTGTTGAATTTTACATCTTGTGAAAACAAGTGTTTCTACAAATATGATTATTATCAAACACAAAACCAAGGCAGAGCAAATACCAAGTTCATGAAACTACAAACAAAAATTTTCCTCCACTACAAAGTTTCAATTCAACTGCAATGACCAAAATTCAAGTTTTGTCCTTGTCATCTTCCTTCATCTTCTTCTCCCACCTACGCTTCTTGTACGCAAGCAACATCTCTGGCATCTTTTCCATCAACCTCGCGGTGTTCTCCCGCTTCTCTGCAGCTATCTTGTCGACCTTGTGCCCTTTCCTCTTTGTCCTCATCTCCTTCCTCTCCGGATCATAAGGCCAATCTTCCCCAGCTAAAAGGACCTCCTTGCGAAGCCTGGCTCGTTGACGCGCACTAATGCCGAGCGGCTTCCATGCCCCCAAGTGCCAGTAACCCCAAACCCCTTTGGACAACTCATCCTTGTACTTCACCAACTTCTCACGCCACGGGTACTGGTACTCCCCAATCGCCTTTACAGCGGATTTTGCAGCTTTCCCTGCCATTGCTGAACTTCACCCTCTAAAGGGTCACTAGCAAACCAAACACAACAATAGAAATATATAAAAATTGTCAATAAAATCATAATAGCCCTTTCAACAACAGATCAATTTAGCTTCAATAGAAAAATGCAAATAAGGGCAAAAGAAAATATAATCGAAGAAGAATCAAGTATCAATAAAATCATAATAGCCCTTCCAACAACAGATCAATTTAGCTTTAATGGAAAAATGTAAATAAGGGCAAAAGAGAATATAATCGAAGAAGAATCAAGTATCAAACTTCAACAAGAAAGCGGGTTCCAAATGAAAGTAATATCTGTATCTATTCATCCATTGAAAATCTTCAATCAAAATAAAGGTACTCTCTTTTCTTTTGCCACCGTGATAGCAGCTATATAACATACTAGTTAGCAAAAATGAGGATCCTCATTTTGACAGATAGAAGAACTAAGGGCCCGTTTGGTTGTTTAAATTAAAACTATGAGTTTAAACGCAACAAACAAATTGAGCCTTAATTCTTGCGTGCGGAGGAATCAAAATCTTAGCTTTTCGAAGAACGTAAAAAGAACAAACACAAAACTCGCTAAAACATCGGAAAAATCGAAGACGAAAACAGAGATAAAAGGGTTCAATGGAAGAGAAAGAGAGAGTGGGGACTGACCGAGAAGGAAAATTAATGGCGAAAGCCGAATACCGAAGGTGGTGCTGGCGGCGGCGGCAGCCGAAATGTGCAAACGAGGAGCTAAGATAGAAAGATAATCCACTTCACACTCTCCATCTGGTGTGCAAAGGTGCACGGTAAGACGTTTGCAAAGACCCAATTATGTTGTGCCACGTTAACATTTCCTCCCTTATTAGTTTTTTTATTTTTATTTTTTAAGAAAAGTGATTAATAAATCCATTATTTTCGGACTTGTTATGTGATTTTTCTCTCTGCTTCCTTTCTAACAATTGCAGACAGAAACCTTTTGAGTCATGATATCTTATTTTCTATTTTTTATTTTTTCTAATTAAAAAGCTCCTTATCATTTATATTATTATTTTAGTTTTCCTCTTTTTCTTTAAGAGATTACTTTGCATTTCCACTTCCAAGAAGGTAAGAGTCTGTGTGCGTTCGATTGCCTCCATTATGTAAATGGCTAAATGCCAAAAAAAAATAAAAATAAAAAACGTAAAAATAAAAAATAAAAAGGGTGCAAAACAGTATCCAAAGAAATGCAGAGCACAAAATAAGTAGAAAATCAATCTTCTTTCCGGTGGAAGGATATACAGTAGAATTCATCCACAAGCATTGCAGTTTTTAAAGGGTCGCCATCCGCTTTCTGCAGAAGCTAAACATGAAGAAGCGTTAAAATATCCTCTCAGTCTCACTTCACTCAGAAAAATGAATAGCTTCTAATCCAATCCTCTCCAATCACCCTTTCATACAGTTTTCTGCTTGAACAAGAAAAGAAAGGGGGAAAAAAAAAAGAAAAAAAAATCCTCCTAAACTTCCAAGATTGTTGTTTATGCCACATTTGATCTTGGGGTCACTCTACCTTGCGCCGCATGCATTTGGTGCTGCCATTGTACAAACAGATAAGAAACTCAGCCAAAAAAAAAAAAAAAGAGAATTCTCAAGATCAACAAATCAAGGGAAGTAGTCTTTGTGTTCATCTGGGGGATAAACTTTCATTGGTTTCCAGTAATTGAACACACAAAACAGGTACCTTACAAAGAAATAGAATGTTGACCGAGAAGAAGTTTATAAAAACTTACCTGAGATGCATATGATGAACTTTCTGCAAGGAACTTGAGAAACTCTTGCTTCTTCCTATCAAATTTGAACTTTGCATTGTCCAGTAATGCTCGTTCTCTCTTGATATCTTCCATCATCTTTTCTTTCTTCCATTTCAACTCCTGGATTTGCTTCTTATAGGTTTCAGGAAGGCTCGAGGCCAGTGATGCTTTGGGAAATCTCACATCAACGTCTTGCCTACATCAGATAGGTTTTCAGAACAAGATGAACCAACAGAAGCCTATGTAATAAAACAATGACCACAATTCATGAAATTCTATCGACCAAGCAAGTAGAGATAGCATTTGAACGTGAGATGTAAGCTAGAATAAATTTGATTTCATTGTTGTTGACGGGGTTCTTACCGAAGTCCAAGGGAGAAGACACCAGTAGCCCTAATCATTCCTCCGTCTAAAGAAAGGGCTCCATCGCTTATACACGGCAGTGCGTTTAGCATTTCCGCCCTTGTTTTATACACTTGTAAGCGAGAGAAAAGAAAGTAAAACAGAGTCTCTCTAAGGCCGTGCCCACTGGATGTGACACAAAATAAATTTGTAGTGTCCACATTAATCATATTTACAGCAAAGCCAAGAAAGCCAGGGGGACACTCTCCGTTAGCTAATCTTGGCTTTAAAAGATCAAGTCTCCTTTGAGGGTCATCAGGTACAAAGTCACCAGCATATGGTCTGTGGAAAAAAAAAAAAGAAATAACAATTCTAAGTGCACAACCAAAATACCAAATCTTATAAATTGATACTAAGAGAGATTTTATTTTATTTTTTTGGCTGAAATGATAGTAACAGAGATTGCCTTTACAAAGGCGGTGCTTTAGACTCATGCCTTAAATTTTCAAGACAAACGACAATAAATCTTCCTTCCAAAGCCCTTCCGATAGAAGCACCAAGCCCATGAAGACCAGAACCCTTATTTATGCAGCCCTCTTTGTCATATATTTCGAGAGCTTTGACACCTTCATAAGTCTTGCAGACAATTGCCAACATATTCTCCATTCCTAAGTACTCTGAGAAAAGTCTGCATTTCAAATTCAGAAAAACACGTCAAGTAACAAATCAAGGGTGTCCCTCTACGACATATCAATGTACCTCATGGACAGTTATAAGCAACTGCCCCGAATATCCATAGATATATTTAAAATAAAAAATAAAAAAAAAAGACCCTTTCATTTCATAATCGTCAGTATTAAGTAAAGTTCCACAAACAATAACATAATGCAGCTGATACCAGGATTGAGAGAAATGCATGATTCTCCAACCAGGAAAAGAAGATACAAGAAAATGCAAAGTCATCTTACCTACTAAGATTATCATCACCAACTTTGCCAAGTGTGGCAACAATACCCAGCACATCCTTGGCCAACGTGAGATGAGAAGCCTGAGAACTATGACGAGCTTTAAGCTGGCATAAAATGCCTGCAGCAGATTTTTCTTGCTGTGTAATCTGTTCGTGTATTTCTTCCTCACTTTGACGGTGGGAAGGGTCCTCATTCTCAATCGTAGTTGCGCTGGAGGAATGGTACTTGCCCAAAGCAACTGAAAGGAAACTTTTGAGCAGATACATTACAGGAAAAGGAGACACAAGACAGAGAAAAGTTCGTAAAGTGAAATAGAGTTTTTTAAATGGATTTCTTAAAACAATAAATAAATACATAAACCTCGTAGTTCCTTCAAACCTTTATGTAAGTTCAGATATCAAGTAAAAAATTAGTTATTTGAGTTTCTAACTTCCACGAACTTCATCATTAACTCTCTACCTGGGAATCCATGTTAGAAGCTGAAAATTAACAGCAAGTGCTGCTATTTACACAAAGAATGCAAACATCGGATCGATGGCAATTTCATAAAACAGGTTCCCATTACAGCCAAATCCATGTCAGTAAAAAGTATTAACAGAAGAATGAACTATACCTTGCAAATCAAGAATAGAGTCGTCTAGTTTGTTCTTCTGGGACTTCAGAAATTTTATGTTGTCCTCATGCTGTTTAATTTTCATTCCAATCATATGAAGATCGTCTTGCAGTCTCTGCAAAGATTATATCATTGCAAAGTTAATGCAACTCATCTATAATTGAGGATCAACAGAACTTACTAGAATTGACTCATACCTCAAGAAAAAAATAAATAAAAGTAATAACGACTACGAATGATAATACTGACACAAAACACCAACCAAATGTGAAATGCATGATAAAGAAAATAATTAAAAATTTTAGACAGATTTTTGGCACAACCTTAGAGTAGTGGATGATTGATTCTGCCTGCGAAAAGCCTCCATTTTGTGCATCGTCCTTTACTTCTACTACACTATTTGCATTTGGATCCACTTGCATCAATGCTGCTGGTTCTTGCATTGGTAACGAGTTTGCATGAATGGAAAGCTGCGAAGAAAAGGGTGTTTAAGTATTTACAAATATCCTTCAATAGCATAAACACAAGGGATACAATTAAGACAATAATATTCTGGTAAAAAACAAAACATAACGAGAAAAAAAAATTTTAAATAGGCAAAACAGATATTAAAAAGAAAAAAAAAAGCAAAAAACAAAAATAATAATAATAATAATAAAGTATTCTGCAACACATGAGTACTTTTTACTTTATTCTAATTTGAATCTCACACAAATACGCAAAAAAGTTGAGTGCCCAATTCAAGAGATAACAAGAACTTAAAGCCAAATATAAAATAACAATAACAATAAAAAAAATTTAATTGCTAATAAACCCTCTAAAACATCCTAGTAAAACTAGAATGCACATTTATCAGGTTTATTTTTTCACTCTTTCTTTTTTTTTTTTCCCTTACCGTAAATAAACGAGAACTCCCACCGGTACTACCAAATAGGAAAAGAGACAAATTTTTCAAAAGCCCACGGTTCAAGAGCTATATACGAAAGAAAAATTAGAAAAATCAGGGAGTGCATTGTGGAAATTTTGCTAAACGCACTCTTACGAAGCCCTTTACGAAACAGAAAACGCAGAAAATTTTTAAGGCATAACTCGATTGAAATTCGTTTTCCTGGAAAATTACAGCACTAAATAACTAGGAAATGGAGAAGAAGGACATGCATTGAAATTATCAAGCCCCTCACGCTCAACTCGGTAGCCAAGAGACGGCGTTGAAGAAGAAAGCAATTAAAAAAGAAAAAAAGAAAAACGAAAAAGAAAATGAAGCCCGGAATGTCTAAGTTCTAATTTCTGCCATTTCTAACAGTTTCTAGGAAACCAAACAGAAAGAAAAGGGGGAAATTTTTTCAGAGGGATTCACCTGGTTGTTAGGTTGAAACATTGCCGAGTTGACTCGGTACCTACTGCCTTTCTGTTTCTCTTTCTCGTTCTGAGGTGGAATTTCACTCCATATAAAGAGTCCGTCAGCAAACATATGTAACGAGAATCTGCGCTCAAGAGCAAGAACGCTTTGAGTACGCGTCGTCACCTTAAAAAAACGACAATATATTAATATAGAGCAATGCTATAAAGTCACTAGCCCCTAAGATAATAACTATTAATTAAGAAGTACGGTGGCCTTTTCCGTCGTGGCAAAGTCAAAAACGACATGTCAGTTAGATATGTTCCAGTGTACGACATGTCACTTGATCTGTTGACAGCTGTAGTGTACTCAGATTAAAACGACATTTTTTCGTAGACATAATTATTTCATTAGTTTAACTCAATTCAATTCAGAACCAACAGTAAACACAATATAAATTTATATTTAGTAAATACACAATTTAAATTATATTTTTTATTTAAACTGAGTTAAATGTTTAATTAAAAGTTTAATTCTCTCTTAAATTTAACTTTTTAAATCATTTTTAACCAGTAAAAAAATGCACGCTCTCTTTATTTTTCACGCCAATCAATCACAAATTCAAATTGTATTCTCCATTTATATTAAAACTTTAACTGCATATCTAAATATGTCAATTTAAATTACAATTTAAATCTCAAAATTTAAATTTTTCTGCTCAAACAAAAAAATTTAAATCAATAAAATTTGAACTAACTAACTAAACTAAACTGGCTAATAGTAAACTCTGCGAAAAAGATGTCGTTTTATTTTGAAATGACATTATGACAACATAATTTGGTTCGATAAAATAAAATTTTTATGAAACGTCAAGTTGCTTTTTACTCACTCACTCACACTTTTTGGCTTAATATTTTGCCGCACTGCATCAAGACGTATTCATCCGAAGCTTACTACGTTTCATTTAAATATATATATATATATATATATCAACTCAGACGACAAGAAAATATTTAATTGCAACAAAAAGAAAATATGTCGTTTTATGAAACGTCAAGTTGCTTTTTACTCTCACTCACTCAAGTTGCTTTTTACTCTCTCTCACTCTCACTTTTTGGCTTAATATTTTGCCGCACTGCATCAAGACGTATTCATCCGAAGCTTACTACGTTTCATTTAAATATATATATATATATATATATATCAACTCAGACGACAAGAAAATATTTAATTGCAACAAATATGTCGTTTATCCAAACGACTCCCCTTGAAGGGTGTTTTCTGGACTTCCCAAACAAAAGAATAAGCTAAACGAGCAAGACCCTTTTCTTTAAGCATAATAAACGAGAGCGAGCTTTTTAATGCCTTGTTCTACATACAAGCTTCAAAAGCTTTAAAGCAACTCGCCATAAAAAACAAAAGTTATTTCGTTTTACGTCTTTATCCGGAAAAAAAAAAAAGACGATAACTATACCTCTATAAATGTATTCTCAAATATTTCGAAGAAGACGTTTAATTCATAAATTAAAATCATGTGATTAAAATTATTTTTTATTTTCGTGTATTTTTTATAAAAAAAAATACTATAACAAATCACGAATTATGATTCAAATTAAAGAACGAATCCCCCAACCAAACAATCCTCATTTCATATTTTAAAATATATATACACATATATACATAGAAGTCCATAAATACATACATATGGTATGTTGTACTTAAAGCAATGATATAGCGCAGTGATATAGCAGCAAATTACAGAATTTTAATCCCTTCGACGTGCCCCGGCTGTTTCTTGTGTTAGAGTTGGTTGAATTCCGTGCTCCGAATAGAAGTCTTCAAGTAAAGGATTCATCTCGTCCGCTAACTTGAGATACTTACTCTTCATCCTCTTGAACTTCTTTATTGTTTTCTCACGAGTCTTCATTTCCACCACAATACGCTGCTCGAGCTCTCTCAACTGCGATTTCTTTTCTGCAAGCAGCTTCACATTTTCTCCAGAAACAGACTCGGTCTCCCTTGCGACAACTTGAAAACATATTCCGGGATTCCTGTAAAGAAATCACCACAAAACGTCATTGTAAGACCAAACTTTCAGGCATTAAACAGTAGGAAGAAGAGAGAGAGAGAGAGAGAGAGAGAGATACCTGGTTCCAAAAGTGACCCCGCTGTTTTCTTTCAAAATTCCACCATCTAGAGAAACGGCACCATGTTTTATACAAGCACGCGCAGCTAACATCTCGTCCCTTGTCCGATAAACTTGGAGCTGACCAAAAAGACCGTAGAATAATGTCTCGCGAAGTCCATGGCCTGACGTGGTCTTTATTTGCAGCTGATCAACGTCTAAATCAATCATATTCACTGCAAATCCCAGAAAACCTGTTGGGACGGTTCCATCAGGTATAAAAGGGACTGGTAAGGGCAGGTTTCTCTGAGAGCCACCACACTCGGGCGCAGCTACGTAAGGACTGCCAAACAATGACGACATGAGATGAGCTTATATAAATTCCTTCGGATGTCATCTTTTAGGCAAATGCTTCGTTCCTTAATGAAGGACATGCTCTACGTAACATGTAAAAGTGAGGGACGTAAATTTGGAAGGTGTAACGATAAGAATATGGTAAACCAAGTCATTAATGTTATAAACAATAAATGTTATATTACATGCCCACTTCTTCAATATGTTACAATATAGGATTGCCCTGATCCTTCAACTAAGAAAAACCATATATATAACACTGACAAATATTCATGTTTGTAAATTGATAAACTATGGTCAGGAAGCTACAAGATTTACCTTATGTCTTCAAGGCAAAAAACAGTAAAGCGATCCTTTATGGATTTCAAAAGTGCAACTCCCTCTGCAAGACGAGCATCGCTACAATCACCTTCATTCTGTTTATACTTCTGAAGAACATTTGCAGCCTCAAAAGATCTAGTGACGACTGCAAGCATTTGATCTAGGCCCAAGTATTCTGACAATATCCTACAGACAGACACAAAGACAAGTTAAGACAGAAGAGAATAGACAATCTTTAATTGGGAAAAATGGGAAAAAGACGTGAGGTGTTTGACCTGCTAAGCTGACTGGAATTGACTCTACCAAGGAGAGCAACCACTCCTATTATATCTTTCATGAAATCATTCTGTTGCTCTTGGAATGGAACTCTTCTAGAGATCTTGCAGAGAGCGGCAGCGGCAGAATTACCCATCTTTTCTATCTCCTCTGTCAGTTCCACTTTAGTGCAAAAGCAATTTTGGAAATCCACTAGACAAACACTGGTAGACTCTGAATATGACAAAATGAAACAATATTTATTGATATTTCATTATTTTTAGCTAGGGTTTTTTTTTTTTTTTTCTTTTTACAATAGTGCCAAACAGATAATATTGAAAGGCAGTAGATGTGCTAGTTAGTCAGAACCTTGCAACTCTTTCACCATTTGCTCAAGTTTTTCCTTCTCCTCTTTAAGCAAACCGAGTGTTCGTTCCAATGTTCCGATTGACACACCCATGCAAAGCAGGTCATGTTCAAGTCTCTGCAGTAACAGAGAGCTCAAAATCAAACATCAGCGACGTGGAAGATCAAATCCTTCCTAAATCCCGTGAAAGTCAGAACTAATTATTTCAAGGATACATCGTAAACTGAGGAACTCAAAATCAGTAAATGGACGGATCTCGAGTTTAATATTAAACGAACTACAAGTTTAGACCATGCCAAGGTATAAACTGCATGTGCTTCTACTTTTTAGAGTAATTTAAAGATGAGATATATTTTTGTACCTTTTTCTTATTCTCAATAGACATGATAATTTTATTTTCTACTTGCGTAGGAGAAGATGAGTCCTGTAGAAGCAATATTTTTCCATCTGAAGGAGTAGATTGAATCTTCCCATACTCCAGTTTTGGAGTAACCATTGGCATCGCGGGCTTCACCAAAGGAACCTGCACATGGAGTTTGACAATTATCACCAAAACTAGGCAATAAGGTAACTAGGAAAAAGCAAAAAATAATGTGCTTCATGCTTCAGCAAAGCTATTCGAACCTTTACAAGCAGTTTCAGATTTGAATGACGAGAATGGCAAGCTGAGAAACAAAAGCTTCCCTCTCTCTGAGGTACGGGAATAACAGGAACAGTGCATCGCCCATGCTTGAAAGTATACCGGACAGACTCCATCATACCATCCAAATCAGACTTAATTGTTAGCAAATTTGATTGGCCAATTTTATCTTCATCATGGATAGTTTCGTCAACATCACCCTCAGAGTTGACAATTTCAAAAACCATATTTCCAAGGATAGAACCGGCCATAAGAACATCAGGTACCTAATAGCAATCATGTAATTTTTTTCAACATATGATAAAATGATAATAATTTACTGAAATGGAAAGAGAGAACAAGGGCTTCACCTTTGATACCAGTCTCAGTTCCCTTCTCTCAATTTTGAATTCTTGCTTGATTAAAACTTTATTGTCTGATGATACAGAGAATGAGACTGCATATGGAACAGGTAATTAGAAATCGAGATGAATAAGTATCGTAAAAAACATACGACATGTAAATGAATAGAAATGGAAATAAAATATCGAGGACTTAGCTATTTACTCATTAATGAGGGATATTCTCAAGCTTTTGCTTAGTCGTTTCATATGTGATTGAGAATTCACATAATGATGATGCTAAAGGAAAAATGCACAGCAAGAGTTGCACATATAAATGTGAAAAATATTTACACATGCAAACAAACATAAAAGTTTGTATTCATTTAATTGAAGCAGACACGTATAACGCACACTATTTGCTACTGTAACAAGAATACGTATATGATGATACTAATAACCTTCACAAAACCCATGTCTCAAACTTTCCAGAAAGTGTGCATACCATTTGCTCCATAACCAGCAGTAACTTTCAGGATGCCATTAAGGTTGATGCCACCACAATCATCCACCTATATTGAAAATTTCTCTTCAGGAGATACGCTACTTGCCTTAATAATCAAAATCTTTGCGCAAAAAAAGAATAAAGAAAAAGAAAAAAGTAATGACACTTAATTCCTTCCAAGAAAACATAATGAATTGGATGTTTCTGCTTAGCATCAAACAAATACACAAGCTGTTAACTAAGGAAACAAAATACCTATGATATCATCTTAGCGGATCAAAACAGCAAAGGTGCCATTTCTAAACAGAATAACCATGATAACTAAAGTACATTATTGACTATAGTTGCAATTTAATTGATATATAAGCATAATTTACAGCTCCCTAGAAAGTAATGAAAAGACACTTGGAGATTTTTTTTTTTTTTAAACTGGGAACTGGAAGAAAAAAAGGGAAAGAAAGAAGTGATAACCAAAAACCATTCAGATTTCAGACAGCTATGTTAACCGAGTACAACAAAGCCACATTTTAATAACAAGACTCGTATCGTCGTGCTTATTTTCTAATGTATAGAGAAGTTATGAAAAATAATAACAAAGAAATAAATAATAAATCTTCAAGAAACCTCTAAATTGCGGTTTTAAAATTTCTTTGTAACAGCATAATTGCGTGAGAAAATTTATAATGAATCTGACCTTACGATTCAATCCTAGTTGATCTAGTATCTCAAAACCCTCCAAATTCAATTGAACTTCAGAGCCTTCCATTACATGATTGCCATGTCCATCAAACATCTGGAGAAAGAAGAACATGGAATTAGATTTTTGCCATTTTACCAACAATTGCAGTCACTATCAATCAGTTAACCAGCAAAACGTTTCAAAAGCAGTCAACAACAAACTCATCATGTACAAGTCTTTGAATTGTTACGTAAATAGCCAGACAGATTGATATACCTCTAATTTAAGCTCTTTAATAATGCAACCCGGAATCAGTTGGTTAGCCAAAATTGATGGTCGCGTCTTAACAACTTCTATACATCCAGGGTTAACTGATACACAGAAAGAAAAAAGTAAATAAAAGTATGTAAAAAGAATAATCATGCTAAATAGCAAGACATGTAAACTCTCTTCTTTTTTTTTTATGTCTGCAAGAAGTTAATACAATACCATGACAAGGTATGGAAGCAGAGAATAGCTTATCCGAACTAGATATGACCAAAGTGGCTCCATATCCTGGCCGAATCTTGTCCAATTCACTACTTTGAATCAGCAAGTCCTGAGAACAAACAAAAACTTGACAGATGCACTTATACAGGCCTAACGCAAATTCCATATTGATGGAAATGGCAGCAGAAATGACTTGCGACAAATACAAGGAAACAAGATAACGTATGTAAACCATACCTTAACTCTCAGTTCCATTCCAGAATATGAAACTCGGGGCTTAAAATCTTTTACATGGAAAAGGATGCCCTCTTTTGCTTGGATCTTGACTTGAACTTGAGGAGTAGATGTAAATCGAGTATGATTGTCATAAATGTCATAACATGCAACAACAATAGGAGGCCCAGAAAAGGAACCAACCCTGTCATAAAAGACCACTAAATGAATAAGCTGACATTAAGAGAGAAAATGTATATCAAGCAGATATGACTGCAGAAAATACAAGAAACTTAAAAGGGACAGTGCATATTCATTTAATAAAGACCTGTGGTTTACGTTCACATAATAAACGTACTCTAGAAAAAAAATTAACTAAACACTTTAATCTTAAAAGTAAGGTACCTGAAGCTATAGGGTAAACTCCGGTTATTGCTTAAGACTTTCCACTTTCTGATCTCAGAAGAGGCCTTGACATTAACTTTTTTGACAAAATTTTTGCAACTTGAATCAGTCTGATGAATGAAATGACCACGCAACATATCACATGATGAGAAACATATTACAACCCTACGATTTTCAAAGGACACAAGTAAAGAGTCTGGGGGCACCACTTACAAGAGAGAATGAAAATGTATAGAAGCCCACTTTTTGAAACAAGTTTGAGAACTTGCGTCCAAGTGAAAAGACATATAAACCATGGATTCCTTTATGTGAAGAAGGCGTGACCCGCCATGAACAAAGGTGATCCCCATTTCCAACATCTTTGTTTGCGCCATTGAACTTTACTTCCAACAACATTTCTGTTTTACATTTAGAAATATATTTCTGTTGCAAATGGTCACTCTGAGGTCCATAATTGGCAGGACGTACAACAGCCACAATTTCCTTGGGAGAAGCTTTTCCTGCAGTAACAATCGCAGGCAGTTCCTGCAAAAATAGACACCATCATAAACTTGATAGTTTCTGATTTCTCGCCTTAAGTAGATATACAGAAGGGAAAAAAAAACAAATAAAACAAAACAAATCAAAACAAGAAACAAAAACAAGAAACAAAAAAACCATTCCGCCTTTTTCAAGGTTCCTTTCTTCCGTATTTCAAAATGAAATCATTTCTCAATCCTAACATTTAAATTTCAAAATCCATTTCCCGTATGCAAGTTGGGAACAAATCAAACAAATACCTTGCATTAATAGTAAAATGAAAAATACTGAAAAAAAATGCTAACCTCCCCCCCAATCTCCAATTCTTGATATTCTTTCGTACTTAGCAAGTCAATTGTAGAAGGACATTTCTGTCGGTGCTTCTCCACTAACTGATTCCACTCGGTAGCTTCAAGAGGTATGCACTGTGATTAACAGCTCAGATGTTAAGCATATTAAAAAGTTTTCTCGTTATTCCATAAGGCAAAGAGCCACAAAAAAGAAGTATATTGGAAACCTTTTCGGCATCAATAACACTGACAGGAATGGACAAGGAGCTTTGCTTATCCAGACTAGTCTTCCCGTTATGTTCAGAAAGAATGCACCCATTCTCATCCGATGTACCAAGTGGCCTTTTCACACCAAAAGCAATATACAACATATATCACTATAAATTACTTGAGTAATCAAGAAGAGACTCAAAATTAGAGTACACGAATGAAAACCTACCTGCATATAATCCGAGCTTCTCCTATTGAAAATGGCATGGGAAACAAAAAAAAAAAAAAACATCAGGATATTTAACTTCACCAAAATTTTTGCATTGCCCAACACCAGTTTGAATGTTACCAAGGAATAATAAAAAGTACTTACGAGGATACTTACCACCCGCATCACCTTCGAAACCTCCAAGCAAAAAGTATTCTAGTGTTGCATAGACATTATTTTTGTGAACACCAGCACATGCTCCCTTCAAAATTTTTATTTTCTGGCCAGATTTCCAGGTTACTCCTTTCCTCTTAAGAACTTTATGAACTCTCATAACTAGGATTTGACAATGAAACAATAAACAATGATTGACTAGCACCAGATAAAATTGAATTGAAAGTCAAAAATCCGGTAAGAAAATTGAGAATTAATATAATTGAACAGAAACAAATCATTTGATGCAAAGTTTGGAAATCAAGATGATTATCCTTTCATGCATACCATCAGATGAAATGCCCACTTCTTTTCCTTTTGCAGGGCTAACAATAAGAACTGGTTGATCTTCCCCGTGATCAACTTCTTCATCGTACTGCATGTGCATCTGAAGAATCCAATCTTGATAGTCCTTTTCGACTTGCGAAGAACTCAACAACTTTCCATCCCTATAAACTTCGATATCTATTCCTTTAAACTAAACAAAATTAGATAGAGAAAAATTTAAAATAAAAAATATATATACCTATGTCGAATGGACAAAACTCAGAAGAAACCTTTTTCATTCTCGTTTGTGTTATTGCCAAAGTTCCTCAGAGCAATGGCAAAAGGATTCTGGTGTGCTAGATCCGTCTGCGCGCGATAATGCACTTTCTTAGTAACTGTATTAGAGGTGCACTAACCAAATTGATTAAATTATACCCAAAAAATTTTCCAGACTGCATATTTGTATTTTCTTAGCTTCATTTGTACACAAAATAAATTATTCGTTTAACAGTTCTACTCCATTCAAAATCAGAACTCTGACTTGAGAATGAGTAGCAAACCAAAAAGGACGAGTGGGAGAGAGATTTTCTCTAATATTCTTTATAGAAAAAGAAGAATAACATTAAGACTTGCCTTAGATGGTGTTGGATTGATGCCGGCATCAATATCTGCAACCAAAACAAATTTTTATCAATGTTTGCATGATGAAGAGCAGACATACAGCAACTCTAGAAAACTTTAAAAAATAAAATTAAAAAATAAAAAAGAAGCACCAGCCTACCAATGAAGCATTTAACTCGAGCACAACAAGTCTTCAATATCTGAGCCTTACTTCCCTTCTTGTGCCTCAAGTCCATGAAGGGAAGTGATGCCTGTAGAAAGGTTAAGAAGACAATGAAATTAAGGAAATTACCAAATAATTTCAAGATAATTATTGGTGTGCAAATAGACAAATCTACAAATTGACATTAGCTATACGTCAACATGTGTATTTCATGCAACGCACAAGTTAGGAACGATAAGTATGTCAGGTTTTTCTGCTCTTCAAGCAATGACTTGAATTTAACATGGGTCCATAAATGGCTCTTAACTTCACAAGGTTTCATGAAAGGTGCGCTCAAGAGGTCATTACATATGGAAAAAAAAAAAAAAGAGCACTTTACCCAGCGAGCATCTGGAAGGAGACGGCCAAGCCGCCGAACTGAAACACGGCTAAAGGTATTGTATATATCTGTGATTTCATGTCCATCAGCTTTTAGCTTCTCCAAAATCTTCTCCATACTCTCTTTTCCCTGAAACATACAATATTCTAAATCTCTGAACTATATATGTAATAGAAGGAGATCTATTCATGCTAATCTTACCTCAACAACAGGGAAATAAACAAATTTCAGCCGTGCATTGGCTTCTCGATACAACCGTGAACCTGAAATATTTCAAATTGAGTAACAAAAGAGCACTGGAAGTTGACATTTAGCTAAAAGCAACAAAACTCGTAGTCACAAACAACTTTGAAGAGAAGTGGAGTATTGAAAATCTCATTTCCCGTGAAAAAAATAAGACATAAGTTCATGAAGAAGTCATAGTCATTTACCTGGACTTTTGGTAACACTGGCTTGCTTCAAGGAGAAATGAAGCTGTAAAACAAAGTCAGGCCCATTACAAGAATGCAAGTTCGTAGTTGCAACCTCCCCACCTTCAATTTCAGCCAAATTAATGCCATTGACCTGGGAATAATACAATAAACACATATACTTGAAAGAGTTGTAGACGGCAATTTGCATTTTCAAGTATGATTTCTAAAGCCAAAGAACTGAATACAACGCAAAGGATATAAATCTCATAATCAAAAGGTGCTCGTAAAATCACACATAAGATTGTACGATCCAAAACTTGCTTAGATCTAAACGGAATACACAGACATATGAGAGCATGCTTTTTTTATTTCATTTTATGTTATATCTTTCCTCCATTTTTCAAGGCTCGTTGTAGTTAGAACTACATGGGGCTTGCATGCAGAGCATGGAGAACCACGCAGAATTCCATATATAATTTGATACAAATTTCTATCATTTCAATAGATTTCAAGGCATTAACCAGCAATATCTAAATAAACAGAAACCATGTGAGGAAATCTAAGATAAAAACATGAGATACTGTATAGAAAATAATGGAGAAGATAATAAACCTCAAACTCTACTGGCGTGATGGTCTTCCCTGTGTTGGACATCTCGTCACACTGCAAGGCCAAGGTAAATAATACATAGAATGTAAAACCAAGAATATTGCAGAAGAGAAAAATCCCTGTTCGTAAAATATTCAAGAAAAAATAATGCACTTTTGGTGCTTATCAAACTCAAAAACCACACCATGCAAACTTATCATCAAATAATTAGGAAAAAAAAAACTATACTACCTCCGTGCAAAGGCGAGCACCACGAGACATGTATGACAACAACAACAACAAAAAAGAAAAAAGAGCAAACCTGAATATATGGGAAGTATATATCCTTTAGCCAGCATCGGAGTTGAGGTATGTCCAAACTTTTTGTCTTAGGTTCAAAAATTTCAACCTGTCAAGTTTTTTTTTCCAGGACCAAAGAAATACGAACTAGTTCAGGTTCACAAAAACAAAAGAAGCAAAGGCACATCAATGCACGTACTCAATGTAGCCGGGGAAAAAGAATATCAAATGAATTAAAAACTCTCGGCAATTTCTAGTAGCAAAAAGGTAAAATGTTAATTTCAAAACGAATCGCAGACACTAATAATCACTTGGTAGCCGTCAAATGGATGCAATACTCTACCTTTGTAAAGCTTCCTTGACGTGTTTCCACAATTTCCTCTTGCAAAGGTTTTCTAATACCACCACCAGTCTAAAATGAAAAGGCATAGTTAGCGTCTGCTTCAAAGACAATGAACCATTGAGTAGTTCCTAACTTCGTCCAAAAGAAAAATGAAGGGTAATCTAACAAAAGCAGAAAAGAGAATTTACTCTTAAAAGGACTACTGCTTGTGCTTTTCTCTTCCATTACCATTACCTTCCAAGTATGTTCCGAACCAGAATTGCTGAGTAAGGCCTCTCTCTCAAGATGTAGAATATACACCTTGGTGGATTTCTTTGTTTTTGATGAAACTCTGGCATACCTTGCAGTGGGGGAAAAAAATTAAAATGAGTGTTAGTGAGTGATTAGTAAATATAGACAGGAGGGAAGTGGGACAAAAACATAACTGGGAACATACTCATACCTCCCTAAATGCATAGATGCAATAGGTCCTCCATATCCAAACATGCCAAAAAAAGGCTGCATAATTACAGCAGCCAGCTCAAAACACACTTAAAACGAAATAACACAATCAAAATAAGAAAAAATCAATTATTTACCTTTAGGTATGGAGGTTTACCTCCTATAGCTTGTGCCTTTGAAGCTCTATGAAGCGAGGCACCCATTTTTCCCCTAAATAAAATGTTAGGAGACACTATTTAAATTAAGAAACATGATTGATTTCTCAAGGCCTCGTTATTAATATACATTCTTTTCAAGAAATCGCACATCTTGAGAAATGGACAATTTTTTCAATGATCTCGCCAAACCTATAGCAAAATTTGACTATCACCTTGCAGTTATGATTCTAGATTTGAGGCGAATTACATAATTTAAAATATGTAAAAATTAAAAGGTAAGAGGGGAAAAAAAAAAAAAGCAAAGGGAGCGGCTGCTAGGGCATACCACTTTACTATAGAATTTTCATCGCTTCCATCCATACCAGGGCCAGTATCAAAGATTGAAATCCTATCCTCTGAAACATCCAGCCTGAAAATTTAACAACAAAGTGGCATAAACCTCAGAGGCAGACTCTAAGATCAAAGAAAATATATGGGGCGGCCAAGGAAGAGAAAGCACATAAACCAAACAACAGTCATGATGGACTTGAAAATTAAACCTGAAAAAGTTATCAGCAAATAATAGAGGTCTTGAAATATCAATTTGGTAAGCACATCATAAGAATTAATAACCACTTCTACACCCACAATGTCAAATCTTCAAGAACTTTTCAGTACCACATGATATTACTATCTTCCATTGCTAGTTAATTCTAAAACAAGCAAGACAATGAGAAAACAGAGCCTGATTTGAAATAATTAAGTATGCTCCGAAAAGGGAACCCATCTGTGCCAACAAGCTTCGTTTCTATCTTAGATCTTCTACAGTGGAAATATGTCGAGAGAATCAGAGAAACAATAGCAGAGATATATGCTCAACTTGCTAGTCTTACAAGCCTACTGAAACACAAGCCATAGCAGTTCAAACTCTGCCCTTCTAGTATAATAGTTACAAAAAGTGAAAATCAAGGAATAGATCCAATAACATTCAAATATGACGAACCAATTTTTTTCAAAAAAACAAAAAAGAAAAAGAAAAAGACAGTAACCAACATAACCAAACTATGTATCTATGCATATCACATTACATCATACCTGACAAGTCTTCGATCATTTTTATGGTTTGACCACACTGCTTGTAAAGAATTGTCCTGGTAAATGAACAGCAGAATTGTAAGTACTTTACTGGAAACATAATTAAGCAGGCTAATAAATTCTATTTTTTCATCTTCACCAAATGACTTACTATCAAATCAGCAAGAGCGGTCTCAAATGTATATTCTTCTGGTAGCTCCCTTAACAACTCAGTATCAGGGGTCAAATCCCACATATTCTGCATGTCAAGCAAATAGAAAGTGAAACTAAAGACAAACTCTTGATAATGCATAATCAGATTAAAGGATGAAACAAAGTAATTGTAGTATTCTTCTAAGAATCAAGGTAAGATACAATCAAACTGAGTTCTAACCTCAAAAATTTCACTAGATTCGCCACTGCCATCCTATAATGCAGAAGCAAACCAAGCAAAAACATAATAAGCAAACCAGATATCATAACACGACACTCTCATTAACAGAAATCCATGCTTATTACACTCACATGAAGCCTTAAAATGTAACACTTGTGTGGTTTGAAGCTCCTGAAGTTAAATATGCTTCTTTCTAGCTTCACATCATTGGCATCTTGAAAATCTAGAGAACCAACTTTCCAGTTCACACTCCTTTTTTGCTTCATGGATCCAGAGTGTCGCAGAACCCGAAAGTATTCTTCTTTCACCAAATTGATGAAATCATCAAATGGCATTTCAGGACCAGGATCGCGCACATTCAATCCTATACTCGTTCCATTCGGCAGTAATATCTTGAACCTATAAACCTCGTCACCACCCTTACTGATCTCAACCAGCTGCCTCTTCATTCCACGCTGACGCGACGCTGACTCCATACCCAGAAAATATCAAAACCTGTAGTAAATTTTAATACAAACTACTCAAAATCCCAAAACAATGACAGAAAAACCAGATAATAACAACAATGATCCATTTGAGAGCTTAAGAATCTAACGTGAACAATGAAGAGAGTAAAACACGGGAAAACTACCACCAAAATCTTTTGAAACAAAAACAATCAGCCACCATAAACGCAGAGAACAAACAATAAAACTACGTAGTAAATACAACACCAAAACATCCAGGAAAAGGATAAAACAACGCATACAAGATCGATTATACAACTCAACGTGAAATGCTAAGATATTCAATCGAAGAAAAAGATAGAAAAAGAAAAATGTGTACAAGTTTGGTTCTGCAAATCTCTGCGGGGTTGTTCCTTTGAAACGAAATTCAGAAAAAATTTAAACTCGAGTTACAACTTTATTAAGTTCACGTTCTTTTATAAAATTTGAGTTTGAACTCAAGTTTAAAACTAAACTCGAGTTCAAATTTCTCTTTCAACTCGAGTTCATAAACTCGAACTCAAATTAATAAACAATATTTTTTCTATTTTTAAAATATCATAACTTTTTCGTTATAATTTTAATTTAGATGATTTTTTTCTATACATTCACAACAAAAAGACGAATAAAACATCACTCACATATCTTATTAAAATTTTTAATTTAAATACAAATTTAAATTTTGATCATTCAAATACAAACTTAAAAAGATTCTAAATTCGAATCATGATGTTTGATAGAGGAATTCGTTCTCTGATTCGAATCATGATTCGTGGTTCGCTACAGTATTTTCTTTTACAAAAAATTCACGTAAATAAAAAATGGTTCGAATCACATGATTTGAATCATCTAATCAAATATCCTATAAATATATATAAACACAAACTCAAGTTACAACTTCCATCAAATTATAACTCAAACTCAAATTATAACTCAAACTTAACTCAAATGTCATTACTCAAATCACCTTAACTTAAAAATATAAAAAAAAAACAAGCCTGCGTAATTCCGGTATGCTCACTCGGAGAATTACATAAACGAAACAATGTGTGCGTCACTTTCTCCCATTTTGACGGAAATTGTACTTGCCGATGAAGACGAACAAAAATGGTGTTTTGATCGACGTACCTACAAGAAAAGCGAGAGCTTGTCGCAGAAAAGGAGAAACCCAAGTAACTCTCTCGGAGATTTGAGAGAGAGAGAGAGAGAGAGAGAGAGAGCGACGTTTGGAGTTTAGCTGGTTTTTAGTAAGAGTGAGAGGAAGTGTGGGGGAATTATAAGGCATAAAAAGGAAAATGGGAAAGGGAAAGGGAAAGGGAAAGTATGGTTACGCAGAGGTGCTTTTGTGTGTGAGAGAGGCACGTGGCAGGAGCAGATTGGTTGGGGAGGAACTAGTAAAGAAGACCAGCGCCAGTCCTGTTCAACGTCTTTTTTTTTTCTTTTTTTTTTTTCCGCTCGAGGTTCAACGTCTTCCTTGCTCCCGAAGAAATGCTCGGAAGAGAAACGGGTACTTTTTTTCGATGGGAATCGGATCACTTCTTCCGTACAACGGTACAGCGGGTTATGGATGGGTTGGGCTGGATGGAATGGATTGGACTGGGCCGGTAATTAATGAGGACAAGTGGCTCCGCCCTTTCCTTTTCTTTTGATTTATTGGAGGGAGAGCGAAGTAAATAGTACAATTATAGTAAATAATTGAAGCGAACAAATCCCGTTTACTTTGTTAATTTGAATTTAAAATTTAAATTGAGATATAATTTTATATGAAAATTTTTTACTATAATAAAAAAGTTAGATGTGATTATTTATGAGAATTTTTTACTTTAAAAAAATTTAAATTTTAAACTTAAATCAGCGAAATGAACAAGACCAAAATTATTTGATATAAATAGCATGAAGTAAATAACAAAATTATGGTACAGGGCAAATACTAAAAGCTTTTTGATATAAATAAAAATTTATCGTGTAAATAATTTTTTTACGCTTAGTAAAGAGATTTTTCATGTAAACTCTATTTTTATGACTAGTTTTTACTACTTAAATTATTTTACTAGTTTTAAAAAATATTTACAGGATAACTTGTTAATAATTTTAAATAATTTTAAATTTATTATTTATTTTCTTTTATTTTATAAATCAACAATTTACTACAAATTTCTTTTCATTAAGACGCTCAGGGTAGTATAGTTGTAAATTATCAAAACAGGCAGATTTTTTGAAAAAAAAAAAAAATAAGGGGATTATAAGAAAAAAATGTTGTTAGTTTCGAAGTTTATGTATTTGGACATTTGGTACCTCATTATATAATTAGTTATGCATTTCTTAAATCTATGAGATCATCATGCACTGCTTAGATGTAAAATTTAAAATTTTACAAAAGTAATGACAATTAAGTACAAAAAGAAAACATCTTATTAGTATACAATGAACACTTGATCATCTCTATTAAATTATACAAATTCATCATAAATCCTATATAGAAACGGCAGAAGACAAAACACAACTTCAAAGAGACATCTGAAAGGACAAATTTTATAGTTTAAAGGCTAATAATAATAAAGATTAATTTCAAAAATTCCCTATGAACTATGCCTCATTTCCCGAACTTTGTTCCGTTAACAAGTTTTATAATAAGTGAGGGAATTGCCATGTGTCACTTATTTAGTGAGATTTGAAAGTATAATTATGCTTATACCCTCCTAATCATATTAGATCCCACTGATTAATCGACAGAATTCACTATCTTCCTTCTCAAAAATCAGTTCTTTTTTTTCCTCACCTCGTTCATCCATGGCAAGTTCCTGTAGTACAAACAGTGGTGCTACCGGGGCAATCACATTTTTTGCGACGATTTTAGGACTTGTGTGGTTCTGCAAGTTTCACTGCATAAAGTTGTCGAACAAGAACTCAGAAACAGATTCCTCAAGTCAGATCCATCCGCACTAAGTAAATTCTGAAGTCATTTCACATTGTTTGTTGATAAGTGTCATTGATTGGTCTCTTTCGATGTTTGGCAGCGAAGTGGAATAGAGGAAGGGCAAGTTCATCAGGCGTGGCGCAGCCTCTTTTTGGGCCGGTTAGAGCGAGCCAATTCAGAATGGAGGAATTGGAGAAAGCCACTATGCACTTCCATAAGAGCAATCTCATATGATATGGAAGTTTTGGCTTTGTGTACAAAGGGTTTCTCCATAATGGGACTATGGTTTTCAAAAGGCGAGCAGGCGCGTCTGGATAGGAATTTGCTGCATAGGTAATATGACTAAGAACCACATATGATATCTTAGGGTACGTTTGGTTGGAGGATTCAAACCATGTGATTCGAACCATTTTCAATTTACGTGTATTTTTTGTGAGAGAAAATACTGTAGCGAACCACGAATCATGATTCGAATCAGGGAACGAAACCCTCTACCAAACGCCCCCTTAGTTATTCTACTGGGTTTCCGCCAGGAAAGTAGATACCAAAGTTGGTTTTTGAATATCTACCAAATGGCTGTGTGTGCAATCTCTAATTTTTCTTTTTGGGGGAAAATTTATAACCCTAACACAACCAATCTAATCGACAAAATGGATTAATCCTTTTTTAATTTATGCATTTGAGTTTTTTAATCTTTTTTTAATAAGCAGAGGCTTTCGCAGGGTATTTTACGATAATATCATCCTCAGATGGGTCATGTACATGGCACGTGGTGAATTTCGTAACTCATTGTAAGAGAAGGAAAAAACTTATTAACGAGACAAAGTGTTACAAGGGTCATAATTTAGGGAGAATTTTTAAAACTAATCCTAATAATAATTCTAAAATCAGACAAAACAAAAACGAAAAGCAATTGTGTAGATACTTTTTTTTCTTTATTTTATTTTTTTCATGTATGTATATATATATATATATATATATGTGTGTGTGTGTGTGTGTGTATGTGTGTGTGTTGTCATAAAAAGGTTTTTGGACAAAATTGACATGAAAAGGTACATTTGGCTTTAGTTATTGATTCCCTGAAGATTATAAAATAAAAAATTAAAATAAAAAAGAAAAGAAAGATGGTTTTAAATATAACACAAAGTCATAAACGATGTTTAAATAATTCATTTATAAAAAGATATGTCATTACTTTTGTGAAAGACAAGTGGCCGCGGCAACCTGTTCAGCAGTCGTTTCGAGTTTTGGCAGCCTGTTACTTGTGTGTGAGTCAATCTTTTGTATTTAATTATGGAACTCAAAATATATAATGTGGTTTTAAGTTTTTAGGTTAAAAGATTTGTTGTGGATCTTTCTTCTTTATTGATATCAGTTGTTTATTTGGTATTTTTTTTGTCTTTTGGTCTCTATTACTTAGCAAAAACGGCTTTGACCTAATTTCAGAAAGTTGATGGTCATTTACTGGTTACAAATCCCAAAAGAACATATATAATTTGGGAAAATAGTTGAAAATATGCCAATATGAAAAGTTTAAAAAAGTATATAGGCTAATTTTTAGTTATAGAAATTAATATGTCATAACTTGTCAAGTTAAAGTCTATAACCAGATACGTTATGGATAAACTTGTCAAGTTATGATTTATAGCCAGACAAGTTATAGATAATTATGGACAATAAATTGTCAAGTTATAGTTCATAACCATACTAGTTATGGACAAAAACAATAATTTGACCTATTTATTAACTTATGTAAATTATTGACCTATTAATTTTAATTCATCTCAAGTCTTGGCCTATTTCATTCTTTTTCCCTATAATTTGTTGTTGTATCGTAAATCTTGTGGTATTGATTCTCACCGTGTATTGTTGTGTCTTAAATTTGGTTGCTATGCAATTTTTTTTTTTGTTATTAGGTTAATGTTATAGATATGATCCTAATCGGAATATTATAATTTTGTCTTATAGGAGTGAAGATAGATATGGGTTCGAGTGAGAACATCAAAATTAAGGGCTCTGACACCATTGAGCTTCTTAAATTGAGAATTGAGGAGTCTCTAGACAAAAGAACAGGTAAAAAAAAATCAAAATAACAGGTCAAAGATTTCTTTTTGGAACATCTCGACATAGGTTATAAGTTTGAGCTCTCACAACAATTAGTACAGCTCATTAAATCCACACATGATGGGCTAGAGAGACCATGAGTGTGTTTGAAACTCATTTCAAAATAATTTTATTTTTTTGTATGAAAATAAAAATAAAAACGTTTTTAATACCAGACATAAGTCATTTTTAAAAAATACATTTGGTAGTTTTATCAATAGATTATTTTCAGTATAAAAAAAACTCATTAATGTCTCTCTTTCTCTCTCTCTCCTCGAGAGATGAGAAAACGAAAACAAAAAAATGAAAAACGACTCAAAGTCATTTTTCATTTCTCTCTTATTTTACACTAAACCAAAAAATCGTTTTCATTTATGTTTTTTGTCTTTATTGCGCCAAACGCCGTTTTAAAAACGTTTTTATTTTTTTTTGAAAAACGTAAAAAATAAAAATGAGATCAATTCTAAACACGGCCAATATAGTCCCGTTCAGTCTAAAGATGAAATGAGCGGTACATATTTCATGATGAATTCATTAGGGTGAAAGGTCTCTGTGTTGAAGCCAACCGACGAAGAACTGAATAATCTGAATGGATTGCCACCAACACAAGATGGTGCAGGGCTGAAGAGGGGGAACCAGAGTGGGGGAAAAGGCACTAAGAGAAGTGGCTGCTTATGTTTTGGGCCGTGATGGATTTGCTAAAAAAACTCATACATCAAAATTTTGTTATATTTGGAGTTTTAGCTAAATTATTAAGACTTGTTGCTAAAAGTTTTTTTTTTGCCAAAAATCTTTTTTGCTGTAGTTGAAGAAGACATTAAGTGGCTCGTATTACACGGGTGTGCGAAGGGGGTGAAAGTCTGCTGGGTAGGGTCGGTTTTTTGGGTTTGTTTGCGCCGGCCCGCAATAATCGGCCTGAGAAAATGTTGGGCCGCAACATGTGAATAAATCCCAGAACCCGTATACCATTCGGTTACCTCGAGTAACCTCGGGTCGGCCGAGTTACTTCGGATAAACCAACTCCAAATTTGCTTATTTCAGCCTTATTTGCTGCTTTTCCACCGGTAAACTAACTCCAAATTGGGTGATTCTTTGCTGAATTGTTGCTTTTGCATGCGTAAACTATGGAAAATAGTGGTATTCTGGGTTAGCGGAGACCAAATGTTCTCGCCTTCTCGCTTTTTTTTAACACGCAGAGGGTTATTTCGGCCGGATAGGGTTACACGGGGTTTTTGGAGCCTGGGCCCGTGACCCTACCCGCCCGCCCATTGCGGGTTGGGCTAATTATAAACCCAACAAAAAAAAAACCTATATTTTTCGGGTTGAGTATGCCGGGTTAGTCGGGTTCGGGGTGATTCCTTACACCTTTAGTGTGCGCTATCACTTGTTTGTTTTCATAATCTCTGCATCACTGCAATGTTGTTATAAAAAGGAGGAGAAAGAGGTAT